ATTTAAACTGACCCTTGATTAGAGAAGAATATGGTAATATTTCAGAGGAAAAGTAAAAGTGAAGGAATCCTTGCTGATACAGGTTGTCAGGTATATTTCCTCAGTCATCAGTGTTTTGGTATTTTTTGATTTTTATTCTGAGATATACCTTCTTGTTTTTATTCCAATGTTACATATTTTCTTTTGTTGAGTTGGTTAAGAAAAAATTTTGGATAGGGAAAATTATAAAGGTAGCTGAAAACAAGCAAAATAGGAAAGCAGAAGAGCAGGAGGGAAGGAGATAGGTCAAGGAAGAATGAATAAAAATAGAAAATTGCATTTATGCTTTCAAAGAGCCAAAGGAGTATTTCTTTGTTCCAAAAAAGTCTAAAATATTAAGAGGGAAAGATCTAGGAGGAGGACAAATAGCAGATCAGCCCTCAATAGAAGCAGCAAATCTTTCTTTTTACCTAATATTTTCACTGGAGTTTTATATCAACTCTCAAGGAAGCTGTTTCAAATAACTTCTGCTAACATTATTGTTCTTTTATAAGTTTTGTTTCTATGGAAATGAATGATGTAATTGACTCTTTCTATCACAATCATTTGCTTTTTAACCTGACGAGTTTTTTTCTTTCCCAGTTAGTCCTCTCCAATCTAGAGAACAAAAGATATTGTCTTACTTACCTATGTAGAAACACTAGTGCCTTTCCTGAAAAAGTTAAGAATTTCTTGAAACAGCAGTTACTGTCAAGCTTTTCCCATTAGAGCTATGTGTGAATGGAAACAACTGTAATTTCTTCATTGCTTGCTATTAAAATGAACTTGAATCATGTAACTCTTTTGAAAAGGAGACATTATGATGACAAAAAATATTGGTTAAGTCTAGCCAGGGCTTGATTTATTTGGTTTTAGTCCTGCGATAAGGAGAGGGTATGTGCTAATGAAGCAGTTCCCGTTTACAGGGAAATTCATCCAGTAACAAGTCATAGAGCCACTAATTCTTTTTCATTCCCATTTTGGGAATTTACGTAGTGTCTGGTCTCCTGGCGCTGCCCCTCAGCATGGCCCTGAATTCACCTGTAATGAAGGAAATCCCCAGTTGCACCAACCTACAGCATCTTCACCTTGAACTAAAAAAATCTCATACTCTTTCCAGGCTATCGATGGGAAACTTGCACAAATCAGCCAACAGATGTTGTATTCAGAACTGTGCAAATAAATGTGAGGGGAGAACTCCCCACACCTCTGATGCAGCAAAGACAGTAGAATGACATTGCTAATTTGAAATTTTAAAGAAGGATAATTTGACCAGTATGGTGCTAGACACAAATTAAAATATCTGATATGTGTCCATGCAGAGTTTCTATTTCTGACCTGTAACCTTGTTCAATCTCTCCTTTGTCATTCTGCTTTTAGGTCTGAATGAATTTTATTACAATCAAATAATCACAATCTTTTCAAAAAAATATAATGTAGGAATATGATTTTTAAAATGTGAATTGATTTTAAGGTAGTCACCTATGAAGCAGAGATGTCCATCTCTTGGAGGATAATAATTAAAGTCCTAAAGTTGGGCAACATTGAAATATACTGAAATGATAACATAAAAAATGAAAAAATACTATTTATAAATGTATTTATTTGGTGCTTATAAAGATGGAATATATGAGACTCTGAATGCATTTTAATTCTATGAGTGAAGTAAAACTCACAGAAGACATTAAACATTTTTTTTTTTTCATTCAGCAGCTGAAAAAGAAGTTTATTTGGTTTTCCCAAGCTCATAGGGGAAGAAACAGTAAAGCAAAGAATAGAAACAATCTACTTAGACTCTCATTCCTACATTCTTCATAGATGACCTGAATTAAGACTTATTTTAGTATAGTCATGACAAATGTAATGTGCAAAACTAATGAAATTTAAATTAAAAAAGGAGTGACTTAACTGTCCCCTGACCTTTCATGTCTCAATGAAGTCTCATTCTAATATAAAGTGATAATTGTCCAGTGTTGGTCCTGTCACTTCATTCCTGATGGGAATTAAAAGATGCAGCTAAACCTACTAATTTCTAAATTCTACAAAATTAGGGTAGATAAGGTACAATAAGTACTGGTAAGTAACCTACCAAGGTTACATACTTCTGCATTCTTCATTGAGCATACAAACTCTGATAATTACTGGAAGAAAATCAAATAGCAGATTTCTACATTTTCAGTGCATGTCTTGAGCTGATTAACACAGGACCTAATTTTCTCTAATCAGCCCAAGGTGGATAGAATGTGAAACAGATGACCTTACTGTTTAAGAACAGGTAATTCTGTTTATTTGTGGTGAATAATGACATTTTCCTACTGATGGGTATTCACTTTGTGCCTTAAATTGCATCAGGTCAATGCTGAGAGTAACTAGTGCAACAAGTTTGAATTCTCCTGTACTGCATATTAGGTAACTTTTCTGTCACTGTCAATTTAAACCAGACCCATATATGAAAAACAAACAACTTTTAATATCCCCAGCTGGAGAGAAAGTTTCCACTAGTAGAGCAGAAGAAAGCATGTGAGGGTCTGTAAAATATCCTCAAAAAGAGAATTTCAGAAAGCAGAAAATCTTTCCTATACTTAGAATTATTAAAAGTATACACCTGGAAAACAAAACCTGTGAGTAAAGAGCTTAGCTGAACCAATGTAATAAAAATCGAATCACTTCAAGGTTGAAAATGTGTCTGAAAACAAATTAAGAACTGAGATCTGATTTGGCCAGTGTCTACATAGGTAATTCATTCTTTACTTCTGAAGTGCCTTAAACCAGCAAAAAATGGTGACTTCAGTATACGGGTCATTAACTAAAGTAAAATTTGAGTCAAGCATTTAAAATGTAGCTATCTGAGAATACTGGCCAATGCTCAAAACCAGAATCCTGAGCATCCCATAATGATACAAGAATATATAAAGCAAAAGCATTCAAGTCCTGAGAAAGAGCACCTCCTCTTTGCCATTTCACTTCCAAAGGCTGGAAGCCAGGGTGATAGAAGCATGCTTTTACATTAACACCCACTCCATCCCCAAAAACACACACACACACACACACACACACACACACACAGGTTTATGCCTGTTGTAACCCCTAAGTCTTAACCTCTGTTCCAGCAGTTTTTTGGATTCTGGCTGTTTGCAGTCTGCTGGGCTCTTTTGTTGGGAAGGAGTTAGGCGTGTTGGGATAATGACATCAAAGCCAGAATTAGAGAGGCAGCCCTGGTGAGACCTTCAAAGAAAGAAAACTACCCAGCTGTAAAGGATAGACATGGATCTGTGAGCCTTGATTCCAGGACCAGCAAGAGCTTAAGGTCTCTCGCTTAAAGGCACAGTTATAGAGTCACAGCCTCAAACTGGTAGAAATCAAGTAAGAGTCCACATTTTCTTGAGGAAAGAAAGTCACGTGTTTACTTTTCCTTAAGCAAAGCTGAGCAGTTTTAAGTGTAGGGAAGAGATTTACTTTCTCCCTGACGTATTTGCAAGAGGAAAAATGAAGTGACTTTTCTCCTTTCAGATAAATAGTGCAATGAATTCTTATTATCAAAGGCGATCTGTTCTTGTAACTCAGGGGGAAGATACCACATTATTATTTGTTTAACAGGAGAAACCACTTTCTGGTACTTGGAGACCAGCACTGCTAGCTGCTGCTCTCCACTGAGAGCTTCCAGTAATGTTTTTGCAAAACTCTTTTCTCAAGATTGAGCTGCAATTAGCATGGGCTTCAGTCAGTTCTGTGGAGATGTCACTCCACATAACGCTACAGGCTTCATGCTGCAACATGAAGATGTCACTTTAGATAGCACTGTGGGCTCGAAGTGGCAATCCAGATATGTCACTGCTCTGTTATGAACTGCTGCAGGAGAATCTGTCCTTTTTGATGGAGCTGGCCTCATACTTCACGAATACCCTCTTGATGTCCCTCTCAGTGGGCTTGACATCACTCTAACAGCATGACAAGTTAAAACATGTCCTTGAGAACTCATGTTAACGAATGCAACGATGACCGTGACTACACAGTGTGCCTAGGCAGGAGCAAAGTGTTTTCTCAATCACAGAAATACCTTACTCTAGTGAGAACTGACTCACAAGTTGTTACAGGGACACAACTTATCTCTGTCTGCTATGACAGCAAGCCCGTGGTCATCACTGTGTCAGATAGTGTGGCTTCTCAAGGTCATGTTCCACACTGCTGTAAATTCTGAAGGAAGATAAAGGACCACCAGGAATTTATTTTCTTTCTAGATTCCACTTTGGCTCAGTTAACCTTTAGCAGTGGTCTCTTCTTAAGTGGCTAAAACAATAAAGAACAATGCCACAAAGCTGAGAGTATGAATCATAAGTTTCAGGCCAGTCTAAATAGTTGAGCCTGTTTTTTCCTTCAATATTCTAAACAAAATAAATGTCTGTTGATAAAAATGCCTGTACAACTTGCTATATAAATTCTGATTTTCAAGTATTACAGCATTTTCTCTGGTTGGAATAAGATTTTTAATAAAAAAAAAAATTACCCAGCATGATATTTTCCCAGTTAAATGCCATGTGTGATCCCACAAGTACAAATGGCGTTTGGTAGTGTCCCCTTTTGTAATTGCTTTAAATTAAAAGGCAATTAGAAGCCCACTAATTTCAGACTAGACCCACTGGGTCAGGACTGAGATCACCAACAGAGCAGTCAGAAGGCATGCATTACACATGCCTCCCTCCACGTTTATATTGCAGGTAGGTCACTCATTCCTACCACTGTCAGAGGCAGCCTTTTAAGGCGGCCCAAGGACACGTGCAGCGTTCATTCATCCTTTGACAGGTGCCGGTACCGGGGACAAGTTTCCCTTCGCTCTTCTTGCTTCTCGTCGGCAATAAGAACCCTGGGCCTTCCCGGGGCGGTGAGCACCGCAAGCGCGGCGGCAGCGAGGCCTTGAGGCGCAGGAGGCTCGCTGGCACCGTGTGCGCGGCACGGGGAGGGCTCCAGCTGCCCCACGGTGCTCTGCTCACCCCCTCACCCCACCTGGCTCCCTGCTACCGATACCTGCTTTCCGTGCCGCTGATTGCGGACTTTGTTTAAGCGGAGGAGAGGGAATGGTAAGGAGATCGCTGAGCGCCGCTGATTGCCCGCGCTCGCTGAAGGGCGCTGGGGATGACCTGGCTCGCTCGGCCCGCTGCCTGGGGTAGGCCTGGCTCCCCGGCACCCCAGGCACGATGGCAAAACCTGGCAGTGACCTTTCTCCACGGAAAAGGCTCTTCTGGGCTTTTCCCAGAGTACACTTTTCCTTGGCTCGGCTTCTTTTTTTTTTTTTTTTTTTTTTTTTTTTCTTTTTTTCAGAGAAGCTGTGAAAACTTTTCCTGAAATGATCCTCCTCTGCCTTCTGGCTGAAGAGTATGACTGATGCCTTTTCTTCCCCAGTGCAATAGTACATCTGTGGAGTAGAGAGACTAGGTAACCAGCTGTCATGTCAGGTTTCCTAAACATACTTGCATGTCATTTCTCACTTGTTCATCTGTATCAAAGCAGAGAGCCTCTGCTGCTAGCTCCGCTGCACATTAGGGCTAAAAAATAATTTCATTAAGGCTGAAAAAAGTGGTTTATTTAAGTCAAAATCAGTCTATTCCTGTATCTGTTATTTCTGCTTCTCTCTTCGACAGGCTGATCATAACACTTATCCTTCTCTCTTGCCTTGTTTTCTACATCAAAGATACTAACTACTGTGTTCTTTAATTTAACAGCTTCTGCAGCACAGGAGAGAATAGATTCATTTTATGAATAGTGAATCCTTGTATGATGTCATCTTCACATAATCTCTGTTTTGCTGCTCTGAAATAGATTTTATTTCAGTAAATGTGCAGACCACCAGTACAGTGACACCCTTCTGACTAAAGAAAGTGCTGATACAAGTACAGTAATTCTGTTTTAAAGCACAATACTGAAGTGTGGTCATTATTCTGTTCTTCTAGCTGTTTGATAGACAGCTCTTTGCTTCCTTATTTTTTCCAGAGAGAATGGTTTTACCTGAGATCTCTTCAACTGCCAACTCTAGGCATTACAGACAAAACAGAGGCTGCGACACCTATGAATTATTGCCATACTTAAGAATCAGGATGCACATTATAATATAGGCATAGTTAGAATAGAATTCCTGTTTGCTTGCCTTGAACCCAACTAGAAGCATACTGAAATAGCATAGCAAACAACACAGATACACACACATATATATATATGGAAATATTCAACACATATGTTTGCACAGAAGAACAATGTGCAGCAAGTACTGCATTTAAGTATATGAACAATGTGTCCACCCAAGAGTAAACAAAAACCTGTGTAGTTGCAGGCAGGTGGGAAGTGTGGGAAAACATATAATCAACAACTGAGGAAACAGAATTTGCAAGACAAAGAACAAAAGGACAAGATAAACACAAAGGACAGCAAACAGGCAGGATATCCTACTGAATGCACAATATCAGGATGACCAGCAAAGCCAAAACAAAGATAAACAGCACTGGGAGCAGGGGGAATGCCTTTCTGGGAGAGAGGCAAGCTGCATAAAGTAGCAGGCCTCCAGTAGAATTTTACCCATAAAAAGCTCTCCCAGAGCTGATCACCTCAACTGTCAACCATCAGTACTGCATCCACTGGTGCATCATCTCCTTGGCATTACATGCTCATAGCTAATTCAGGATATAGTGGACTAGTAGATTTGTGTGTGTAAAGCTATTTGGTGATAATTGGTAATGACTAACCATTGGCACATCTGTCATTAAAGAATGTCAATCTATGAAATTTTATTTTAAAGTTGGTTTATTAATGACAGAGCTAGAGGCTGGTCACTGCCAGTATCTATGTGAAGCAGAATGTGTAGATATGAGCTCCCCATTGCTGACCAATAAAATACACTGCCTTGTGGAGTTACCTTGTTCTTATGGCTTTGAAACACTCAAGGGAAATATGCCACTGCTGCAGAGATGAGTGATGAAGCAGTTGGCTTCTGTTTATGTGAAGTTTTGATTTTTTTTTAATAACTTTTTTTTTACTCTTTGAAGGTATGTAGGAATGTGTGCAAAATAACTACAGACTATAACATATCTAGAAGCCTCTGAAGTATTTGTTTAAATTTTAAATGCTGCATCTGCATCTGCACTGCAGTTTCAGATATTAAACCCTGATGTATGTTTTGAATCTCTACAAATTACACTATTTCTTTTCCTTTCCTGCTGCTTCTCCTTTAATACTACTACTATCAGCAAGTTTTTTTATTGCTTACCAGGAGGAATACTGATTTCATCTGCAAGATTTGGGCTAGTCACAAGTTACCTCATCATTAAGAAAAGCATTTCCTACGTTCATTAACAGAAGAATAGTAGCAAGGGTTCATGTAACCTTGACTATCATTTTGCTTTCTCCTCTTTTTTGTTTTATACCATCCTTTTAAACTATTAGTCAAGATCCTCACCTGATATAAAGTGATGTCACCCCACTGAAATCTTGACTAACACAAGGCTTAGAAACCTTCTTCCTTCAGATATTCATGGACAAGTCTAGATTTGTAGCTAAATGATTGTCAGTGCTTAACATGAAAACATATGAGATCTAAATGAAAACAGTAAATGCGCAGATAACAGAAGCTGTGGGAGGTCAAGTGATTTTTTAATTTGAGTATCACTAGGAAGCAAAGGCAACTGTCTTTATCTTGCCAGGGAGTAAGATTCTGTTATCAGAAAATGTCTAGTTTTGACTATTGACCAGCAGTGTTTTCATGTCTTTTGATATGATATGTCAAGAGCATCTGGAATCTTGGGTTACTCTCCAAAGAAAATTTTTCTATTATTGCCACTGTTCTTCTTCCAGCAAAATTGAATTTAACTTAATTTTGTACTTAGTTTATCAATTAGACATGCTTGTGATATAATGTTCTTTATAATTACTAAAGCATGTGATTTTTCACAGAATCATAGAATTGTTCAGGTTGGAAAAGACCTTTAAGACTATTAAGTTCAACCATTAATCCAGCACTGCCATTTTCACCACTAAACCATGTCTCTGAGTTCCACATCTACACATCTTTTAAATACCTCTAGGGATGGTAACTCCTTTGTTTCCCTTGGCAGCTTGTTCCAGTGCCTGACAACATGTTCAGCAAAGAAATTTTCCCTAATATCCAATCCAAACTTCCCCTGGTGCAACTTGAAGCCATTTCCTCTTGTCCTATCACTTATTAATTGGGATAAGAGACCAGCCCCTACCTGGATGCAATGTCCTTTCAGATACTCCAAGAGAGCAATAAAATCTCTCTTGAGCATCCTTTTCTCCAGACTAAACAACTCCTTCAGTCTTGCTCCAGACCCTTCATGAGCTCCATTGCCCTCCTCTGGATTCATTCTAGAACCTCAATATCCTTCTTGAACTGAGGGTCCAAATCTGAACACAGGATCTGAGGTGCAGCCTCAGCAGTGCCGAGTACAGGGGGACAATCCCTGCCCTGCTCCTGACTGGCCACACTGTTCCCCATACAGGCCAGGAAGCCATTGGCCTCCTTGGCCACCTGGGCACACACTGGCTCGTGTTCAGGCACTGTCAATCAGCACCCCCAGGTCCTTTTCCACCAGCAGCTCTCCAGCCACTCTGCCCCCAGCCTGCAGCTCTGCCTGGGCTTGTTGGGACCCAGGGGCAGGAGCCGGCACTCGGCCGTGTTGAACCTCACACCACTGGCCCCAACCCATTGATCCAGCCTGGCCAGATCCCTCTGCAGAGCCTTCCTGCCCCCCAGCAGATCAGCACTCCCACCACCCAACTTGGTGTCATCTGTGAACTTACTGAGAGAGCTCCAAACTCTTCAAAGGTGAACATTCCATCACGTTTCAGAGAAAAGGACAATTTTGGTTATATTTAAAGTAAGTCATTGGTATATTTCACACTACAATAAACCTGACTCCTCTGCACAATTTAAAACTATTTTGGAATTTAGTAATTTTCATCTTTTTGGTTAATATGATTTCATTTTGTTTACAAGTATGTTGCACTGTGTTTGCAGTGAATTCTTGGATTCTTGCAAGTCTCTCTCTGGTAGAACTCCTGTGATCTTAATTAGAATTTAAAATTCATTCCTCATGTCCAGATTCTCCCTTTACTGAGCTTATTTTTCAATAAAAAAAAAGTTAGAAAAAGACACAAAAAATTCTGAGTTACAGTCTTCCATAGACAGTAATACATTATTGTATATTTTTAGATTATGCTTTATTGCCCTGATCAAAGAGATTTTAAAAGTGTAGGAATATAGTGTAGTCTTACCTTGCCAGCATAGAAATTAATAAATTACTATAAACCCAGGTACTCTTTACTATATTAAAGAAACTTCCAATTTCAGCTTGATGTACAAATTATTAAAGAATTATTTTAACGTGGTTTCAGGTTTATTTTAACGTGGTTTCAGGTTTAGGATATTATTGCCCATTTTATGATGTTATTTTTTTCTTAAAGGCCTAATTCTTTTAACTAGATTCCCTGTAAACCTTGGTTTTAATTACAAATGTAATGCTTCTAAACCCCATAATGGTTAAAAAGCTTGATGACATGACACATAAAAGTTTGAATTCCACACAACAAGAAAAGTAACACAATATTGCTTTTAAAATAATTTTTAGACACTGTTTTTAAGTCAGTGTCTTGATTTATAAACATATATGTTTGCCAGTACTGAATCCCCAATCTGTCCTGGAGCAGCTCTGATAGTGTTTAGTTTTTAAAATCAGTTTTCCAATTTGACAAATATTTTTCTTCCATTCTGGTATGTGAAAGAGCCACACCCACAAAACATTTTACTAGATGGGCAAAATAGTGAAGCTGCATGAAATGCTGACAAAAATGGTGTAACAATTTATATAAAACAATATTTTTCTTTCTTATTTTTAATTTTTAATGCATATATAATTATAGGGTTTTGTTTAAATAAGGACAATGGATAAACATGTTTGACATGGATGTATCACCCTTTTTTGTTTAAGTTGGCTGTACCTGCCAAAGGCCTGTACAGGAACACAGCAAATTTTATAAAGTTGGACTCTAGACACTAGAGATAGAAGAATCTGTGGTGTTCAGTTGCCAGTGTAGTCCTTTGGAATATTGCAGAGAATAGTATTGGGAAAGTTTGCACCTGCTGGATTGAATTTGAGAGAGCATCACACTTGGAAAAAGTTAGCTTTTGACATTAAATTGTGGACTTGTGATTTAATGACAGAGAGGACTGATTTATTTTAATTTTTTCATAGTCCACTTTAAAGGATCAAAATCTACCCCTTGTATTTAGTAAGAGTTCATATTTTTTCCTGTATCACAAATGGATGATAAGATATAGTCACTTGGATTTACCTTCTGACTTCATGGATTAGCTGTCAGATGACTGTCACCTTCCTTTGCAAAGCTGTTGTGTGCCTGTTTTGGTTTTG